CTTCAGTGATTATGGGTATGTCTGATTTATCTGCTAACACATACTGTGCATAAAAGAAGTAAGTTTGTTCAAAAGCTTTGAAGTACCCGGTTTAGCCTCTGAACAGAGCTTCCCTTCGCCCTTGGATGTTGCCCAGGATCGAAGCTGGAGTCTATTTGGGGAGGAGGAAGCTCCCCTTTTGTGCTTGGCATTTCCACGTAGCCACTACTGAGAGTCTGTTTCTTGACAAGGTTTCCGTGATACACAGAGCAGCACTTGTAGATTTTGGCTACGCTCCTGCTCTGAATAAGAACACGAATCAACAGAAGTGCTTGTGAGATTCACTTTTTCCTATTCGGTTGGCCCAGTTTGAAAGATTGGTACGTAGAAACTACAAAATGTACTGTGAATAACAAGGCTAGTCAAGAATATGAATTGTCAGGACTGGGCAATCCTGAATATGTATATAATAATAATAATCTATAGTTTGCTTGCTATACCGGGAACATAAGCCAGGATGTAATGATCATTCCCTTGGCAGTTTCTAGTACATAGGCAGTGTTGTTTAATTGCAACAACAACAACAACAACACATTTCTGTCATGCTGAAACATGATTTGGGGTAATTAAGGGTTGACCTTTGTGTATGTAAAACTCATTCGCTTCTAACTCTCAAACCAAATTCTCAGCCCAGAAGCCTTCACTTTTACATGTTTATCTTTTATATAAAGTTGAGGGCTTTCACAATTCCTTTAAGGAAAAAGAAGATTCCACCTGCCCAAGGTCTGCCAATCTTTGCTCTGCAACCAAAAAAGAGAGAGAAGAAAGATGCTCATGGTTTGAGTGAACAAAGTCAAGTTTGATAGATGGAAGCCAGAAAGAAAGATGCGAATGGGATCAGGAACTCATAGCTCTTCCGAGATACAGGGTTCAGTCAGCGGGAATGTAGTAAAGGAGCGTAGGACGTGTATTTGAGAAATCTCATGCACTCCAAGTTCCCTGAGAAAAGTATGAAAAAAATGTCCTCTATGTACGTAGAAGCAGAAAAAGAAAAACAATAATTGTAATAATTTAAAAATGTGTAATAATTTAAAATTAATTTCTTAAACTCATAGAAAAAAATTGTATCACCCCCTTTCTTTTGGGCTTACAGAAGAAAAGTGGCTGAGATAGTGGCTTCAAAAGCAAGACTCCCAAATGTCAAGAAGGACAGACATAGCCTTGGCGGCCATCCCATCCTGGGTTGTTTAGCTCCTTTTGGGGGCCCCAGCAGTGCTCAAGCACCCTTGGACCCTACTTTCATATAATGCCACTTCAGGAGACATAGGGCGGCATGGCAAATGTGTAACCAAATAAAATATATAAAAGTTTAAGGAGCGTCCAACTTTCGTCAGTTAAGTTCTTGGCGCTAAAAATAAATTAAGTACCAGTCAGGCCATGCTTTCAGGGCATTTGGGGCTTGTGACTGAAGCAGCTTTGTTTCTGCTAGGCAGAATTGGATACAAATGATATATAGGGCTTTATGTATTAGAATCTGACCTGGAATGTAGTCCAGAAATGAACTGGGGGACCACTATGCCAATAACATGAACATGTCCCAATACTGGCATGATACAATCATTATTTCCTCTATATATATTTATCTGTGGCATTTATAGCCAGA